TTTGATTAGTTTTGTGATGTTCCTATTGATGGATTGGGCCAAACTATGAATTGGAGGACATAAATTAGTGTGCTTAGTTATTAACTAGGTGTCTTGTTGTTTTTGGTATCAAGGCCCTGTCCTCCATGTTCCCGTGTCTTTGATAGTGATGTCTTCGGGGATCATGCTGTGACATGTGCTGGTACTGTGGGTATTAAGCATCGACATAACCTCGTTTGTGAAAACTTATTGGACATCTGTTACAGGTCTTGGAATTCTGGTAGTAGGGAGGTTGATATCGATCTGATCGATGGGCATAGCAGACCCCTTCGTCCTTGAGATTTGCTGCTTTATTCTTGGAATAGGGGGCGATATGTGTGTGTCGATTTGACTAGCTCTTCACCTTTGACTCATACTAGAATGAGTGGTTTTGTGCCGAGCCGAGTTGTTGCTGATGCTGCTCACTGAAAGCGTGCCAAGTATCGGGACTTGTGCATGGTGGCTGCCTGGCTGGTTAGGTATCCTGCCCTTTTTTCCTTCGTTGTGAGAGTTGGATACGCACGATGTGGCTTTACTCAAGCGAATCCAGAAATTCTCCGTGTCTCACGATGTGGGGGCTCAGGCGGCCATGTACATTTTTACTAGACTTAGCTTTGCTATAGCTAAGGGAGTGGGGGCCTAGATTGTGTAAATGCTTCTCCCGCTGATTTTTTGTAGACCTTGGTTTGATCTTCTCACTATAGATATATTAGTAGTAGTAATAATAATATTACGAAGAAAATCAATTTATGTGGTATCTTTGAATAATCAAACTAATCCATGAAAAAATTTGAATACTCTCCAATTTACTGGTCGTATTACTTAATGAAATCGGCGCACAACCATGCCAGCTATATATAAAATATCACAAACACTGTCAAACCCTACTAGCCAGCGTATGCATGACCTTCATGGGCTTTAGGACTTGTTAGTAACCTTTGGTTGCTAACTCATGAGTAACTAAATCTAATCTGGACCTTTAGATTTAAGTGGGCCCAAAAAATCCTGATCTAAGGGTTGTGAATTAACGGACCGTTTGGTACCAAATGATCGAGAATTTATTCCATTGTAAAATGAAGGGTTAATACCTTAGTTTGACCCGAACTATACACAAACTTTCTACTTTGACACGTGGTTTCTGAAATTGCTATCCTGACCTGAACTATGAACCATACTTCCTAATTTGGTCCGAAGTCGGGTTTGACCGTCAAATTGGACGGTCAACTCCGTTGACCGTTAGTCAATGGCTAACTCACTTGACATCAGCAAGCAAGGTATAAAAAATTGTATTTTTTGAATTTTTGTATTCATTTTATTTTCTAATAATAATAATAAAAAAAAAACAAAGAGGATAATGATTTTCTTTTCACAAACTTCCCTGCTCCCATTGCTAAGACCCTCGCATGCCTCTCTCACTCTCTCCTGCCCATTCCAAAGATGAGTGAAGAGGGATGGAGCACATCCCCATTTTTGGAACTCGGATATGTTTGAGCACCAAGCTCAAGATCTGAGAACGAATGGACAATGGCGACTAGACATCCTAACTCATCGATCAAGACCTCGAAACGAGGCCATGGTTATGGATTTGGACAAGCAGATAGCTAGGGAAGCTAGGTTTGGATCGACGGATGACGACGAGGTGGGTGGTAGCGATGGAGAAGCCCATTTCGACGGGAGCTAAAGCTCTTTACACAAATGGGTTCCGATAGCCGTTTTGATGAAGGGTGTGTTGGCGAGTAACATGATTAGGTTATCCAATAGATCAATTTTCCCAAATTGAAGTTCTCCGGCAGGGAGAAAAAGCAGAAGTAGGACTCTCCGGCTTTCCAGCACCGAGCTCCATGGATGTGAGCAGAAGGAATCGATTGATTTTGAAGGGAGAGGGGGGACGTGGGTGGAAATCAGAAGTCGTAACCCCAAAATAGCTACCAGAAGGATGTTTGAAGGGTAGAGTCAGAGAGCGGGATAGAGAGCGGCAAGGGAGTCCGGCTCCGTGGAGAGAGGTTGAAGCGTCGGAGGAGAGGCGATGGAGCGTTGGCGGCGGCGGAGATAAAGGGGAAGGAGGATGGATTTGGGTTTGGGGAAGAAGGGTGTTTGGAAAATCGTTTATTTTATTTTATTTTTATATCGGAAATCGTTTTTCTCAGATTGAGGTGGGAGGGGAGGAGATAAATTGGGGTTTGATTTTTTTCGTTTATTTTTATTAGAAAAAAGAATGAATAGAGAAATTCAAAAAATATAATTTTTTATTCCATGCTTGCTGACATGGCAAGTGAGCTGGCCATTGACTAACGGAGTTGACCGTCCAATTTGACGGTCTAATCTGGCTCCCGGCCAAGTTAGGAAGTATGGTACATAGTTCAGGCCAGGGTAGCAATTTCAAAAATCACGGGCCAAAGTAGAAAGTTTGTGTATAATTCGGGCCAAACTAAGGTATTAACCCTAAAATGAATTACCATGTAAAATTCATTGCCAAATGAAATCCTATGTTTGGTATGTTACATTCAAATCTTTAGAAATAAAATGAAGTGTTGTGTAGAATTCATTGTCAAATGAATTCTTGTGTTTGTGATAGACCGATTATTACACATGTTTTCACCCCTATTCTGAAGCCGTTTGAGATGTGGATTCTAGTGTTTTAAGGCGATTTCACGCTAGGGTGTGTGTTTATGTTATATTTCAGGTCCCGGCGTTGGAATCGAGGCGGAGAAACGAGTTCTGGGTCGAAAGGAGCGAAGTTGGGACGAAGGAGGCTGATGGATGAAAATACCCGGCCATGACCAAGAATACCCTGCCGGGTATTATTCCTTTGGGCGCCCCGTGAGAAACAGAAGGGGGCCCGGGCAATTGGCTAAAATCCCTGGTCGGGGATTATAGAGTCAGACCGGGGATTTTCCCCTGGATGAAACGGCGCGTTTTGTATATACCCGGTCGAGACCCGAAATACCCGATCGGGTATTTCGACCGGGTATCGCGATCTGGCAGCTGATAAAAGGAAAAGAAGGCCAACTTTCAAGGGTTCCGAGTTTTTGAGAGAGAAAGCGATTCCTAGAGAGAGAGAGCGACGAACCAGAGTTCCCAAGTGCCATAGCTTGATCTTCATCACCATTGGAGCCCGGCTTGAGCTTGGAGAAGTGCCGATTAAACGTCCAGGAGCAGAAATCCGTCTTCGCAGTATGATTTCCGCGTCTGAATCTGCTTTTGCTTCTTTCTCTATGAAGTAGTTCCCCCCATTCATCTGGGTATGGGGAACCCTAGATTTGTATGCTATGTCTGATTGTATGAACCCAAGTACAGAGTTTGTGAATTGATTATATTCGATTGAGGTTTGAATGATTGAATGACTTGAATCCTGATCAAATTCCTGTTGTTTCTGCTTTGACATAGAATGAGAATATCTGCCTAGGTTGATAGAGTTTCCTTAATCGAAGGTGGCGAATTGGTGAATTTAGTCGAGGAGCCAATTCGTTATTCTGTACCGAATTCCATTCGGTAGTGGAGGTTTGGTTCGTTAGGGCCTCAATCTGTTTACTCTGGTGGAGGTTAGTCGCCCGCTAGAGACTCAGATTGAGAGGGTCTGAAGACCTTTAGTCGAGACTTCAGGCTATTTAAGAACCTTCCGCAGTATAACTTTCATAAAAACTGAACTTGGTAAATTGCAATCCGGCTTAACTGCAGTCTAGGGGGAACCATATCCGGGTGACCTCTCTTGACTTGAACAACCGTTAAACTTGCTTTGTGTTTTTGTTTGTTTGAATCTGCACTAAAAGTTCACTGCTAGATAACGAGAATTCACCGAGTAGTCATCACATCTAGGACCCGGGTTGACAATAAAACCCAAACCCGCTATACTACGCTTTAGGAAGTGGTTACACTTGGCCATTTTCTAGGGTGACAGTAGGAGTGAGTCAGTTTGTTATGTCATGTATAAGTAATTTAGTTAATAAAAGAGGGTAAACATGTCATTCTATTGTAATTAGTAAATTCTTGTGGAATTCATTTGGAAATTCCATTTCAATTCCTCGGAATTGCTATAACTAGTTCCAATTCCGTAGAATTCAAAATTTAGAATCGAAAATGAATTCTTTTTAATACCAAACACGACAAAATATTTCATTTCAAAATGAATTCCTCAAAACTTATGGAATTCATTTATACCAAACGGTATGTAAAGACATTTTATTTTCCTTAGTTTTTAACTCGTTTTTAAAAATATTTGCACAGAAGGAACGAGTTCATCAAGATCTATTGGAACTACAAATTTATGGGTGAAAAAAATACAGGACCAAAAAATACTATACTATACCACCCTGGTATACGTGTGGTAACTTATGGTATACAATGATGAAAGTCGTAAATGACAGTTAATATACTCTTACTATCATGTATTCAACCATCCTACAGTCTTGGTATTTTCATACCATATGATCTGCTCTTATTTAATACCGGTCAATACCATATGGTATGGACTCGTAAAAAATAACTCAATTTTTTTTCTAAAATTCTATCAAAGTAGATATTATTTTAAAAATTATAATTAATTTGATCTATTTGTGTAAAATAAAATTAAATTTGAACTTAAAAACGAGAGAAAATTTTTCACCATTACTAACCAAAATATTAGAGCATCTCCATTGGAATTGCATTTAGAATTGCATTATGACATGACATTCATTTGCAATTGCATGATGCAATTGCATTGATGTAGATGACAATTGCATCTTTGCAAGCTTGCATATAATGCAATTATGGAATGCAAGCCACATCATTTTTTTATTATTAAATTATTCATTAACTTTACTATTTGAGTGTTTATGTTTTAACAAATTAAATTAAAAAACTTAGCTGCAATTGCAAGTTAATTGCATTGATGTGGTCCAATGCAAGTAAGATGAGTTGGATTGGGAAAAAAAAAACAATAAAAAAAAACAAATGCAATTGCACCGATGAAGATCTCTTACGGGCCGATCCGAACCCACAGCGAAAAATCACACACATATTTCAAAAGTTTGACTCAACGGCTGATAATTATACATATCCATGAATTATTGTCGTACGCACATAATGAAGACTCAATTTCACATTGCGCCTTTCTGTTGTTTCCACTAATCCACTACCTTGCATGACACAATCACGACAAGTTCTTTTTTTTTTTTTTATCAATGACAATTAGTTCCTTATGCATGCGAATAATGCATCTCTCTCTCCCTCTTGTCGGTTTCATATCCGAACCTTTGACCTGAAGAGTATGTATGTCCTGAATATAATAAACAAACAATGACAATTTAGAATGGCAGCCTATCTACGATCACGATGAGGGTGGGCTGGCAGAAGAGAGAGCAGAAGCGAGCTGTTGAGAAAGGTTGGTGGCCAAAATTTGGTACGCCGTGGAGGTCGGGTGGACGCTGTCCCAGAAAACATAGTTAGATGCCATCTCCTTCCCACAGGTTGGACTTTCTTCGTTACACAGCGCTGCCATCTCCACTAGCCCACTCCCGCAGCACCCCTGCTTCGTCTCCACAAACCCTGCCACTTCCGCAAACGTCTCATGTTAGTAAAATCAAGATTCGATATATGTAGAAAGTGATCGATGCGCCTAAAATACACGTTACCGTATTTGCTTGGGTGGGTGATCATGTCCAGCAATGGGTCGTAGACATTAGAATAAGTGACTGTACTCCCAGCAAGCGAGGACTGCAATTTGGCGAGCAGCTTCTTCAGCTTCGCATTGTACGACTGGGAACCCTGATTCTGAGTTTCCACACACCTTCGATCAAACGGGTTTTTTAGCTTCACCGTCATTTGAATCGGCAGGCACCCAATTGGTGGCAGACCTCCCACCACGATTGTACGCCCTCCCATGTTGTAAATCCGCTGCATAATAATTATATGCACCCAATGTTCCGTTATTATGTAATGTTAGAAAAAGATAAATCAACAATGCAATGCATAAAAGAAAGTAAAGAACAAACAAATTACAGTGTTTCGTACTGTTATAAACGCGCTGCTACGGATCGGGAAATCGCCGGAATCGATAAAACAAGAATACGAAAGCGAGAATCGAAAAAACACAGATAAATGATTTACGTGGTTCACTAACACGATGTGTGTTAGCTACGTCCACGGGCGAGAGAGAGCCAGTTTCACTATATTGAGGAGATTACAGATGAGTATGAGAAGTATTTATAGTACTTCTCCATGTGGGTCTAAACCTAATCCAATCTGGCAAAAGAAACGGTTACAGACCTGACCCAGAATCCGAGCCCAAATAACATTGAGCCCAAATAACTTGAACCCAAATAACATATTAGAAGTATTTATAGTACCAGTTTAATCGTTCTTGGAGTCACATGTCCTCAAACTATCTCGTTTTAACAAAATCACGTACGTACCTTGACCAAGTTTTGGACCTTAGAGAGCAAGAAATCCTGGTAGCCGCTCAAATCGAACTCCAGCCGCCTCGTCATCAGGTCATAGTAGTTGTCGACAAAATCGTTGGCTCCGGCGCTGACCGCCACCAACGCTCCGTGGACCGTCTCCTTGGCGGCGTCATCGCCCACAACGCGCCTCAGCCTCGCCACGTACTCCTCGAACATCTCCACCTGCTCGTCCATCGAGATCGCCTGAGCAATCGTGGCCGTCAGATCGTCGTACCCTGTCCCCGCCGAAGCGAACGACACCCCGGTTCGGATGTCCGAGTCCGACAGGTTCGGGTGCAGGAACGGCGGGACCAGCTGCTTGATCCCCAGAATGCTGGCGAAGAAGTCGGGCAGCAGTTTCCCGTCTGAGAATCGGCCCGTCGGCTGCCCGGTGGGGAAGTTCTCGCCGTAGGGTCGGTGGTCGGCTCTGAACACGGCGTCGGGGAGGTAGTTGTTGTTGCCGGTGTCCACGGTGGAGTCGCCGAAGATTATGACGGCGGTGAAGTTGGGAAGCTGCTGGTTCGGGGAAGCTGTGATGACCAGAATGTCGACGGCGGCGGTGAGGATGATGATGATAAGGGCCGTCGTGGCGGCAGCGGCGGTGCGTGGGAGGTGCATTTTTTTGAGTTTAAAGGGATGAGTTCCTGGGGAAGAAAAGTGAAAGCTATATATATATATATGTATGTATATGTATATAATGGATGAGTTCAGCGGAAAGTGAGGATTAGTCCTCTTAATCTTATTAGTTAGCGTAGTCAGCCCGCAGGAGAGGCTGTCAAATACTTAAATGTGCTTAATTAATTTCATAACAATATTTTTTTTCGTTGAATTCATAACAATATTTACTAGAATCGGGTTATTCTTTAGTGACAATGAAATTTGAGTAAAAATTTGAGCATAAGAAATGGGGAAAAAAACACACCCAAAATAATTGCCTTTTCATGATAATTGATCCTTTATATTGAGATCCTTACTCTTGCGTTTTGTGCTTTTAGCTAGATAGGGCTCTCTTATTTGCCACCCTAGTTTATTGTTGAATAGGGTTCGGCTATTGCTGGTATAAAGGGTGGAGACTTCTACATCTAACCCTAAGTTGGAAAACCTAAAATCATAATAAAAGTACAGCCGAGAACTCATGTTCTTCGTGGACTAGTCTCGTTCGTTCATGAACGGGGAAACCACGTAAAATCCGGTCTCGTGTGTTTTTACTTTCATTCAATCTCGTCGAATTTATCATGGTATCAGAGTTGTGATCGATTCACACCTCATTAGTTCGGTATGGCTACCACGGGCGAGGAGACACCCATTGGTTCCGTCATCAATTCTACCGGCAACGACGGCTCTTCTGGAGGTACTACAGTCGCCCGCCCCTCTCCGTTTACCATTCACCAATCCGATAATCCCAGCCAGCTCTTTGTCGGGGAACTTCTCACAGAAGTTAATTATGGCGAATGGGTTGGGGACATCACTGATTCACTCATAGACAAAAACAAGCTCGGTTTCGTTGATGGCTCTATTGTTGCTCCTGCTTCGGGAGGTGAAGATTATGCTCTTTGTCAATAATGTAATGCTATGGTCAAGGGGTGGCTTAAGACCGCCATGACAAAAAACATCCGCAGTAGCGTTCGGTTCGCGAAGACGTCGCGGAATATTTGGCTCGATCTCCAGGCGAGGTTTGGGCATGGAAGCGCAACTCGCATGTATGAGCTAAAGAGCATGATCAATCTATTACAACAAGAGAAAACCTCAGTTGGGTCGTTCTACACCAAACTTTGAGGTTATTGGGACGAGATAGGGTCCCTATCACCGTCGCTTGAATGCACATGCGGCGGGTGCACTTGTGACGTTCGGCGTCGTGCGCGAGAAGCTAAAGAAGGAGAGCTATTGTTTGATTTTCTAATGGGCCTTGATGACGTTTTCAGCACTGTGAAGACCCAGATTCTTGCTATGAAACCTACTCCTAGGCTAGGGGAGGCATACCATTTGGTCATGAATGAGGAACAGCAAAAGAACATCTCCTATAGTCGGCGTCCGTGTGCTGATGCGGCAGTTTTCCAGGCACAAGGCGAGAGGAAACCTGACCGGCCTTCTCGACAGGGGGAGAGAGAGGCAGACGGGAAGCCAGTTTGTACGCATTGTCAGTTGGTGGGACACTTTCGGGATACTTGCTATAAACTTATTGGTTACCCGCCGCGCAAGGAAGGTGATCAGCCGCCACCAAGGAAGAAGACCGATCGGGGGCCTAGAGCATCACCCCAAGCTGGCAATGTGGACGCCAAAATTGACAGCAGTCCAATGCCTGGGCTCATGGAAAATCAATTTGCCCAACTAAAGTCATTCCTAAATTCAGACGTGAAATTGCATGGGCAAAGTTCTTTGGATCCTATATCTAATATGGCTAGTACGTATTCTTCAGTTTCTACTTCGTGGGTAATTGATTCAGGATGTAATGAACAATATCGTCACTGACAAATCCTTGTTGATTGATGAGTTGGAGTCACCTCCAGCCTTACAGGTTCGCATTTCGAACAGGACAGGTGTTCCCATTCGAGGCATTGGTTCGGTTAAACTGCCTAATGGATTATTCCTTCGCAGAGTTTTATTTGTTCTGGAATTTCAGTGTAATCTGCTATCTGTCAGCAGGCTCATGGCTGATCTATCGGTGGCCTTAATATTTCTTGATGGCTTCTGTATTGTTCAGGAATTACCATCTAGGACGCTGATTGGGATGGGTAAGCACATTGATGGGCTGTATTATCTTCAACTTTTTGATGGGCGTCATCCGGTGGCACATGTGGCTCGTCAAGGTCTTGATAAAACAGCTCTCTGGCACGCACGGTTGGGGCATCCAGCTGGTGCGAAGATTCTAGCTCTACAGAAGTTTATTTCTCTTCCTGCGATACAGGAGAAGTTTCCATGTCATTCCTGTATTCGAGCCAAACAAGCTCGTGATCCGTTTCAGTCTAGCTCGATCACGACTAAATCTTGTTTTGAACTCCTTCATTTGGATATTTGGGGAGGTTATCGGATCCCCTCACTCTCTGGGGCACATTATTTTCTGACTATTATTGACGATTATAGCAGAGCTGTTTGGGTTTATTTATTGAGATATAAGTATGATGTTGGTTGACATTTGGTGGCTTTCTTTCATATGGTTTGAACTCAGTTTGGCAAAGAAGTTCGTCGTCTGCAGGCAGACAATGGTCCGGAATTTAATACTAATGTACTTCGTGCTTATTATGAAGACTCTGGCATCATACTGCAGACTTCTTGCACTGATACACCACAGCAAAACAGCGTTGTGGAGCGTAAGCATCGCCATTTGTTAGAGACTGCACGTGCTTTACGTTTTCATGCGAATCTGCCTCTCGAATTATGGGGTGAGTGTGTTCTCACTGCAGCCTACTTGATCAATTGTATGCCGTTGGTCAAGATCGGCAACCGCACTCCTTTTCAGGTCATGTTCAACAAAGATCCTCCTTATCATCATTTGCGGAGCTTTGGCTGCTTGGTCTATGATCGCGATAATCGACATGGACTGGATAAATTTGCTGATCGTGGTCGTGCGGGCATTTTCGTTGGATATCCTGGCACTCAACGTGGGTATCGGGTTTATGATTTGGAAGCCAAATGCATATATACTTCGCGTGATGTACGTTTCTTGGAGGACACCTATCCCTATCGCATTTCCACTGATCCCTCCGCCTCTTTATTTCATGGCCAGCCAACGCCGTCTATTTCCCCAGCCTTGGATCCTTCGTGGGACGAGGAATGGGATGCCTCCCCTCTGCATGCCACTAGTGATCACATGCAGCTCACATCCTCCTCGCTGAATTCATCCGACCAACACGAATCGGGCTCCCCAACTAGCACGCTTTCAGCGCCTACTCCAGCGGCCTCGACTGACCCCTCACGCGAGTCAGCTCCTTCGCCATCTCAGGTTTCACCTTCGACTTCTCCCACGCCCGTCCTCGATGATGTGCCTCCAGCGCGTCGACGTAGTGATCGGTCCAAGCAACCTTCCACTCGTCTCAAGGATTTTGAGGTGGATCTTCTTGGTTTCACCCATACGGTTAAGGCCGAGTATCCTATTGAGGATTATTTGACATACCGACGCCTTTCTCAAGCTCATCATGCGTTTGTGGCAGCTGTTAGTAAAGAGAATGAGCCTCGGTTTTATTATCATGCTGTTCGCTACAAGCATTGGCGTGATGCTATGTTAGTAGAGTATCATGCTCTGGAATTCAATGGCACTTGGGAATTATGTGAATTACCTCCTGGCAAGCGGGCCATAGCCTCCAAGTGGGTTTTCAAGGTTAAATTTAATGCTGATGGCACTGTGGAACACTACAAGGCTCGGCTAGTAGTTAAGGGTTTTACCCAGATCGAAGGCATCGATTATCACGATACTTTTGCCCCGGTTGCTAAGTTGGTGACAGTTTGCTGCTTACTCACTGTTGTCGTTAGTCGGAACTGGATTATTCATCAGCTGGATGTGAATAATGCCTTTTTACATGGCGATTTGGCCGATGAGGTTTACATGGAGATTCCTCAAGGCTTCGCCAGGCCAGGCGAGACTCGGGTTTGCCGTCTTCGCAAATCGATTTATGGTCTTCGCCAGGGCTCGCGCAATTGGTATCAGAAATTTACTCAAGCTCTCACCGAGCTGCGATTTGTTCAAAGTCGCGCGGATCATGCTCTGTTCACCCATCGTCGTGGCAATTCTTTCGTGGTGGCCCTCATTTACGTCGATGACGTAATCTTGACAGGAAATGACATGAACTTTATTCACAAGGTGAAGGATTTTCTACATTCTCGTTTTACCATCAAGGATCTAGGGCCCCTCAAGTACTTTTTAGGAATCGAGGTTGCTCGTTCACCTCGCGGTCTCGTTTTGAATCAAAGGAAATATGTTCGGGATATTCTTGCTGAGTTAGGCTGCACTGCCGCGCGTCCTAGTGCCACACCTATCGAATAGCATCATCGCCTTGGCCGCGATGAGTCCCCACCTGCCGCTGATGCTGCCTCCTTTCGTCGTCTTGTTGGCCATTTACTCTACCTTACGGTCACACGACCGGACATTACTTATGCCGTTAACATGCTCAGTCAGGCCGTTCATTCACCTACTCAGGCTCATGTTGAAGCCTCCACTCGCATTTTGCGCTATCTCAAAACCTGTCCTGGCCGTGGTTTGTTTCTCCCTGCTTCTCCGGATCTTTCCTTGACGGCTTACTGTGATGCCGATTGGGCTGGTTGCCCCCTTACTCGTCGGTCGACGACTAGCTATTTCATTAAACTTGGCTCTTCTCCTATCCCTTGGCGTACCAAGAAACAGTCTGTTGTTGCTCACTCCTCGGCCGAAGCGGAATATCGTGCCATGGCCAACACGGTTAGTGAGATCCTGTGGCTTCGCTGGCTTCTGGGCGATTTGGGGGTTCCTATTTCTCAGCCTACTCCTCTCTACTGTGATAATCAGGCAGCTTTGCATATTGCTGCTAATCCCATCTTCCATGAGCGCACTAAGCACGTAGAGATGGATTGCTATTTTGTGCGTGAACGTGTCCAGTCTGGGGATGTCTTACCTCTCAAGATTGATACTCAGGAGCAGCCGGCTAACCTCTTCACCAAGGGTCTCGGACTTGATCAGTTCTCTCATCTTCTG